TGTGGCTCCTGAGTCCATCAAAAACCACGCTGATGCCAGGGGTCTAGTCTGCCACCTGGGACCATGTAGGTATCTGAGAACCATGCTGCTGTGGGGACCATGTCAGTCCAGATGGCCTGTGATGCCACCTGGGACCATGGTTACATCTGGGCCCAGGCTGCTGTCTACAATCATATCTGGGTCCATGGTCCTACCACAGCCAGGGTCTATATTGATGTCTGTGGCCCATGTTACCATCAAGGCCACATAGATGCCTGGGGTCTGGGCCACAGTCTGTGGCCATGAGGGAGTCCAAGGGCCATGCTGCCTTCAGGGGCATCCTGATCTGAGTGGCCTGTGCTGCCACTGGGGCCATGGTGGCATCCAGGTCCAAGCTGCTGCTGAAGGCCATGTCTGGGTCCCTGCTCCTGATAGCTAGGGCCTGTGATGATGTCCATGGCCTGTGTTAGCACGGGGTGTAGCTAGAGTTTTCCTGCCTGGCCCACGGTCAGGATAAATCTCTCTCACCCACCAGTCCCACAGCCTCTCAGACCCAACCAAGTAAACACACAGAGATGTACAAACTGTATGGCCATGGCAGGGTTCTTGCTAACTGTTCTTATATCTTAAATTAACCTATTTCTATTAATCTATAAGTTGCCCTGTGGTTCGTGGCTTACCAGTATCTTAACATCTTCCCATGGCAGCGGCTGGCAGTGTCTCTCTGACTCAGCCTTCCACTTCCCAGAATTCTCCTCTCTCCTTGTCCCACCTATACTTCCTGCCTGGCTACTGGCCAATCAGTGTTTTGTTTATTAACCAATCAGAGCAACACATTTAATATACAGAACATCCCACAGCACTTCCCCTTTTCTTTTTTTCAAAAAGGAAGGTTTTAACTTTCACATAGTAAAATTACAGATAACCAAACAATTATCAAGCAAGAATTACAGTTACAATATCTAGTCTATTTATAATAACTAGTCTCTTAGTATTTGGCAAAATTAAAGAAGATATCCTATCTATCTTATATTTGTGAGTTGAAGGTTTCGTATCTAACTTATCTTTTATCATAACTAAGGAAAATTATAACTCTAGTCTTCAACTACATCAAAGATCCCAGAGAATACTATTACCTGAGAAATGGCAGAAGGATGCAAGCAACTTTTGGGAGTCTTGCAAGAGTAGACAGAGACAGCTGGCAGCCTGGACAGTCACCTAATGTTCCTTTGTAAAGTTGGGGCATCTGTCTTCAGCCCATAGGCTTAGAGTCTCTTAGTCACAGGGGTCATTGGAACCATGCTGTGCTAAGCCAGACCCACCCTTCACTGGCCATGGGATGGCTGGTCCTGTCCCTTGCTGGATATTGCATCAGGTGAGCTGGCTCTACCCTTCAGGGGAAAGCTAGCTCTTGCACTCAGGAAAGCTAGCCCTACCCCTCACCATAGGCATGCACCTCTTCTGAGAAACATACTTGTGCTGACCCTGTGGTCAGATATCCATGTAAGCTGAATCTGAGGACATGAGAATAGGAGAGCTGACTCTATACCCCCTTGTCTGCAATGTGGTGGCATGCATGAGGGAAAGATACCCTCACTCATTGCCACCTGTAGATGAGAGAGCTGGCCCTGGAGTCACAAGAATGGGAGAGCTATACCTGACTCTCACTAGCTGCAGTACATGAGAAAGCTTCTATTCTGAGCAGTAAAACAAGAGCAAACTTTATTGTCAGGGAGGCAATGAGCCAACCCTGAAGACTTGAGAGCAACAGAGCTGACCTTGTAACCCCATTCATCTGCCATGTGGTGGCCAGTGAGGAAAAGATGCCCTCCCCCATCCACCCCTTGCTACCTGTGCTGTTGCCTACAGTGGTTGAGCTAGCTGAGACAGTGCTGGAGAACTCACCTAGGTAGTGGTGATGAGCAGAAACTGATGAGCTGACCAACCCAGCTACCACACAGGCCCAGAACCAGGGCTGAGTTGTCCCACCCCAACATCCACTGAACCTATGAACATGTGAAGGGGAGGGATGAAACTACAGATTCAAAACAGCAAGATCTCCATGACACAGGACAACAGGATATCCAAGAGGAGCCCCAGTGAGAGCCCATTTTCAGTGACTTAGCAGACACCAGAGACCTTGAACCAGAACAATTATTCCTGACAATGAACACTTGCAAGCAAAGATGAACAGATTAAGGGGTAAACTGTGTGTCTGTCTCAAAAGGCCAAACTACAGTTTCCATGACAATCTTCTCCTTCTTCTCCTTCTCCTTCACCTTCTCCTTCACCTTCTCTTTCTCCTTCTCCTCCTCCTCCTCCTCTCCTCCTTCTCCTTCTTGTTTCATTAATTTTTATTTTATTGAAGATGGAATTTTTCTCACATAATATATTCAAATAATATTTTCACTTTCCTCTACTCCTCCCAGACTCTGTTACCTTGCCTACCATAGGATTTCTTGCTATGCTTTAGTGACATGAGATTTTTTATCTCCACCCCAGAATTATATTTATAAGAAAGAAGAGAGTCACCTGCAAGAATGTGACTGCTTTAAAAGTTTGATGTTGGGGAATATATATTATTATATATTATACATATATTATACAACATATATTATACACATGCAACAGGCCAAAGTATGCCAGTGGAGCTTGCCACAGATGACATTCAAAGAAACAAATAAAAAGGACCAATTTTGATCACTTTTCCTATAACTATGATCTTTTTATTTCTCAGTCATCTTTTATAACGAGAGCTTCTATGACCTATCTATATCAATTTATTAAGGGGTTCTATGGGGAAAACAGACTCACTGATACAGGATAAGGTAAATCCAGTTTCAGAGTCCTTCCTTGGAAAGCTGGGGACTAATCACATCTGCTTCACATCATCTGATCTGGTCTTCAACACCCAAGAGAGTGAGACCCCCTTTCTCTTTCCTTTTAAGTCATCACATAGGCAGATAAGAAACACCAGATAGCCCAAGGTCATGGGCAGATCGAATTCCCACTACACTTCCCCTTTTTGTCAAAATAAGAAGGTTCTAAATCTAGTTCAAAACTATGTACAATAAGAACGATTATCAAGTATTGCCCAGGAGAAAGAAAAGGTAATAACATAACCAAAAATGGAACTATAACCCACAAGAACAACATCAAGCAAGAAACACACACTCAATGTCATAGTATTTGCCAGATCATAGGTAAATGGCAAATTACAGAGATTACCCCAATAGCTGTCCTATCCTAAATAATCTAAATCTAGTACCTGATATGCTCTTAACTAAGATATGGGAGGATTGTAACTGTAACTACCTAGTCTTCAACCCCATCAAAGACCTAAGAAGGAAAATAATATTACCTGAGTAAACAGGAAGTGCATTGCAAGCAACTTCCAAAATTTTAGAAATGAAAAAAGACATCTGGTTGCCTGAACAGTCACCCAAAGTTCTTTTTTAACATTGGAGCATCCATCTTCAGCCTATAGGTCTAGAGTATATGGCAGACTTTTCAGTGAAGCAGGAAATTTGAAGAACTGTCTTGCCTATTTTGGCAAAATTTGTCAGTCGCTTTCCTCTGTGTCCTGCAGAATGTCTGGCAATTTCTTCTGTGAAGCAGGAACCTGAAGGACCATCTTGTATTGTTTTGTCAAAGTTCAGTGGTCACTTTCCTATGGGTCCTGCTTGTCCAGTTTATACAACATATTGTCAAACATTCCAGGCAAGAGCAGTTTCTTGCCCAAATGGTTAGCCTTTTCCACATTGTAAGCAAACTCTATAACAAGTTTCTGCAATGCCCATCATCTTCTCCGAAATAAATTGTTGCTGCCAGGAGCAGACATGTCTCATTGTCATAAAAAAGAACCATTATAATTATAGTTTTCCTTATTTATAATAAAAAGTAAATTAGATATAAAACTTTAGACTCATAAAAATAGGATAGAGTATTTTCTTTAATTTTGCCAAATACAAATAGACTAGGTATTATAACTATAATTCTTGCTTGATAACTGTTTCATTATAAGTAATTTTACTATGTTAAAATGAAAACCTTCCTCTTTGATTAGACAGAAAAGGCAAGTGCTGTGGGATGGTTTTTCTGTATGTTGTGAATATGTGTTGCTACCATTGGTTAATAAAGTAGCTGTTTTGGCCTATGACATGACAAGTTATAGCCAGGTAAGAAATCCAAGGAAAGATAAGAAGATGTCATAGCTAGCTAGCAATAAGCCTGAGCTATAGACCAAAGAGTTTGTAATTAATATTAAGCCTCTGAGTGATTATTTTAAAAGTGGCTGCAGGACTGTGGATCCAGGACAGGACAGAAAAAATGTTTGGCTACAATCTTTCTCATGGCAAGTAGCAGAAAAGAAAATTAAGTACTGAGATTTTGTTTTGCTTTTTGTTTTTCTGCAACAGGGTATGGTGTTTTAAATGAAAATGACACCCATAGGCAAATCATATATTTGAGTGATTAATTACCAGGGAATCGAACTGATTGAAAACATTAGAAGGACTGAGATATATGGCCTTATTGCAGGAAGTGTGTCTCTGGAGATTGGCTCTGAGGGTGGGCTTTGAGGTTTAAAAGTGAATACCAAGCCTGGAGACTCTCTTTAAGTCTGCAGGCCAGGAAATGGCTGTCAGTTACTGTTTTAGCAACATGTGTGCCACCATGCCTCCAGCCATGATGCTAATAGACAAAGTCTCTAAAACTATAGATAAACCCCTAGTTTTCTTTCATAAGTGTTGTGTTTGTCATGGTGTCTCCATAGAAATAGAACAGTGACTAAGACACATGGTTTCTCTGTGTAGTCTCAGCTGTCCTGAAATTAGTTTTATAAACCAGAGTGTCCTTGAATTCAGAGATCTGCCTGACTTGGCCTCCCAAGTGCTAAGATTAAAGGCATGGTCAACCATTTCCACTTGCAAATACTGAGATTTTGAAAAACAACATACAAGACACTAGCCAAGTTTTTCCAGAATCATACAGGAACACTGCTTCACAAACACTGTCCTTACCTGTGACATGGGGGTGCTTCAGCAGGAGCAGGAGAGCATATCTCAATGTTGTGCTTGTTGTCTCTGTCCCAGCAGCAAACAGATTGGTCACAGTTACTGCCAGATTTTCAAGTGTATAGTTCAACTGGTAATTGCAGTTTTCCTAAGAATAATGTTACAAAATTATCTGATAATTTGTTACTGGCACATCCAATTACAATTAATTTATAATATAGCATAATTTTATATTGTTGAAAATGCAAAATTCGGAACTAATACTAGAAGTGGAAACCAATACGGCATTTCAGAGATTATGCTGTAGATAGCAAACATGATTTCTACATTTATATTTCTTAAAATTCTAAAATTATCTTCTCATATGTGTGTGTTTTTACAATGCTTGGATTTAAGGCCTTAGAAGATATGAAGAGACTTGTATTTCTTTCATTATCTAGTCTCTACTATCAAAACATATGTAGGGAAAGATGTGTATGGTGTTATTTTATTTGTATTAAAATGTTATTTGTATGTTAATAAATAAAGTTGCCCGGGGGTCAGAGCTATTAGCAAGCCATAGGAAACCAGGGCAGTGGTGGCATACGCTTGTAATTCCAGCACTTGGTAGGCAGAGCTGGGTAAGTCTCTGTGTGTTCAGGGATACAGCCATTATTGGATACACATGCCTTTAATCTTAATACCAATCATGGAAAACCTGGAGGCCTATACAGACAGGCCGTGAGGAGGCGGTCATGTGGTTGGGTTTACAACCAATGAGAAGGCAGGACAGGAACTCTATATAAAGACTTTAACACAGGGGTAGCTCTGGTTCGGAGAGGTAGGACCACTGCAGGAGGAAGGGTAAGGTTTTAGCTCTTAGCTCTGACCTCTTGGCTTTCTTCTTTGCATTGGTTCTGTGTTTCTTATTTAATAAGAAGGTTGGCTACATCTACATTTGGCGCCCAACGTGGGGAGAATTCATTAAAAACCACTTGGCTTGGCTTGGCGGCAGGTCCGGTTTCCGGCCTGGGCGGCCCGGCTGCCTAGCTCGGGCCCAGGCCTGACTGACCCGCAGCTGGAGCTACTTGCAACTGCTACAAACAACTCAGGCCTGCCCTGCCGAACAGGGCCCCTGCCTGTAAAGCCAAGGCTTGACTCGGCTCAAGCGGCTTCTCTCTCTCTCTCTCTCTCTCTCTCTCTCTCTCTCGCTGGATTCACACCTTGAACACCAGGTGGCTGTGAAATTCCCTGGGATTCTACTTTTCTACCCAGACTTGGTAAGTCAATTAACATATCTATTTAAAAGAGAATTTTTTTCTACATTAAAAAAAATGGGCTTTATGTGTACATTGGAAGAAAATTGGGCTTTGTTTGAAATTTTAGGCACTCTGACAATGGAACAACTATATGAAAAGATTAATATTGATCGAATTATTCAGTTTATTACTTTTCTTATCCTCATTTTACTATTTAAAAAGATCATCAACTTAAGTGCCAGGATAACAGTCTTAGAAAAACTTGTTAAACCGGTAAAAATGAATTATAGAGAAATTCAAATTCAGACAGAAGAAATAAATAGTGAAGTTGTTTCAAAATTGGATCATAAAGTTACAGAAAGAAAACCAGTTTTCACACAATCACCCTTAATTTATCCAGTAGCCGTACAGCAGCTACCTGATGAAGAGAATGAACAAAATACTTGGGTTCCAGTTGAAATGTTAGACTTACGAAGATTTAAGGAGGCAATAGCATCTTATGGCATGCACTCCCCATATGTAAAGCAAATGTTAAACACCTGGTCAACTTGTAATAGGATTCTACCAAAGGACTGGCGGGAATTGGCACAGGCTGTTCTTGAACCCGGACAAAATCTCCAGTGGAAAATGTGGTTCAATAATGAGGCTAAAAATATAGAAAGACAATGGAGGGATAGCGGAATACAAGTCTGCCAGGATCAGCTTATTGGAGAAGGCCAATATGCTTCAGTACAAACACAATGTTCATATGATGTCCAAACCCTAGTTCTATGTCGAACGGTAGCTTTGAATGCATGGGACAGAGTTGAAGAACCAGGAAAAAAAAACTGAGTCATTTACAAAGGTTATACAGGGCCCCAAAGAATCTTTCACAGATTTCTTACAAAGATTGACTTCAGCAGTACAAAAAATGGTCCTGAATTCACAGGCTAGTCAGATAATAATTGAATTTTTAGCCTTTGAGAATGCAAATGCAGCGTGCAAAAGAATAATTAGGCCATTAAAGGCAAGATCTGCACCTTTGGAAGATTGGATTAGAGATACAGTTAATGTAGAGGCTTATGACCATGATAATATGTGGATAGGAAAAGCAATTTCAAAAGGTTTGAGCAATGTTAGATGTTTTGGATGTGGAAAGCAAGGACATTTGAAAAGGGATTGTAAACAGGCCATTCCTAGAAATAATGTTTCTTCAAGGAACACTGGCAACAGAATGCCCCTTCCTTCTGGAGTATGCAGAAGGTGTGGTAAGGGAAAACACTGGACCAACGAATGTAGATCAACAAGGGACAGACAGGGTAACCCTCTGCCTCGAGCTTCGGGAAACTCCCAGAGGGGCCTCAGGCAGGCCCCCACAGTAAATCCAGTTCAAACCTTTCCTGCAGTTGTAGAGGAAACCCCTACTCAAAGCAACTAAATAACCAAATGTCTATTGGAATAAATCATGTTAGTCAAGATGATGAAACAGAGAAAATAGGAAATACAGGAAAAAACATAAAGAAAATTTTTTGGCAAACTTCTATTAATGAACAAAGACCAAAACTAACAATAAAAATAAATGGTGTTTTGTTGTCTGGTCTGGTAGACACAGGTGCTGACATTACCATAATTGCACCAGAATTTTGACATCCAACTTGGCCTCTTCAGGAGGTAAACATTCAACTCTTAGGAATTGGGACATTATCTCAAGTGAAACAAAGTGCAAGATGGCTTGAATGTATAGGTCCAGAAGGACAGAAAGGAAAATTAAAACCATATATGGCTAACATAGCTATGAACCTGTGGGGTCGAGACTTGTTACAACAATGGAATACTCAGATTAACATCCCTCCAATCTCAGAAACAAATCATAAATTAGTACATGTTTCTGAGAGAAATATTAAAAGATATTATTCTAATGAGTGCTCACCAGCCATCCATGTCATACAAGAACAGGGCACAACAACTGATAATCTTCCAAAAACACTAACAGCTCTACCTTTAAAATGGTCAACAGACAAGCCTGTATGGGTTCAGCAATGGCCTTTAACAACAGAGAAACTCCAGGCTTTACAAGAGCTGGTGGAAGAACAGTTAAATGCTCATCATATTGAAGAATCAACCAGCCCTTGGAATTCTCCTGTATTTGTTATAAAAAAAAATCTGGTAAATGGAGAATGGTAACAGACCTTAGAGCAATTAACAAAGTAATTCAGCCAATGGGCTCTTTACAATCTGGGATTCCTTTGCCTACTCTGTGACCAAAAGTATGGCCTCTCATACTTATTGATTTAAAAGACTGTTTCTTTTCAATACCCTTACAAGAAAAAGACAGAGAAAGATTTGCTTTCACAGTGCCTACTTATAATAATTCTCAACCGGTTAAAAGATTTCAATGGAGGGTTCTCCCACAGGGAATGTTGAACAGCCCAACTTTGTGCCAATATTTTGTAAAACAGCCATTAGAAGTGGTACGTAAAAAATTTCCTAAATCTATAATTTATCATTATATGGATGACATTTTATTAGCTGATTCAAATGCAGAAACTTTAGAAAGAATGTTTGAAAAAGTAAAGAAAATTTTGCCTTGCTGGGGATTACAAATTGCTTCAGAAAAGGTACAAAGAGGAGATTCTATTAATTATTTAGGATATAAAATAGAACTTCAAAAAATTAGACCTCAAAAGGTGCAAATTAGGAGAGATCGACTACAGACTCTTAATGACTTTCAAAGATTATTTGGAGACATTTCTCATCTAAGAACTATTGTTGGGGTAAAAAATGATGAACTGAATAATTTGTTTAAAACCTTAGAAGGTGATAAGGACTTAAATAGTCCAAGAGAATTATCACCTGAAGCTGAGAAAGAATTGGCCTTGGTAGAAAAGAAAGTACATGAAGGGCACGTAGATCGTATTGATCCAAAGCTGGATTGCATTTTGGTTATTTTACCTTCTAGGCATTCCCCAACAGGAATATTAATGCAAAGGGAAGATATTATATTGGAATGGATATTTTTACCAAATAAACCAAATAAAAAATTAAAAACTTATGTGGAAAAAATCTCTGACTTGATTTGGAAAGGAAAATTGAGACTTCATCAATTAGCAGGAATAGACCCAGCAGAAATTGTCATACCTTTAACTAAGGAGGACATTGAAAAATTATGGATAGAAAATGAAGCTTGGCAAAAAGCTTGTAGTAATTTTTTGGGAGAAATTAACAGCAAATATCCCAAAAGCGATAGAATTGATCTTATAAAGAGAGCTGATTGGATCTTGCCTCGAATTGTGAGGAAAAAAACCCATATCTGGAGTTTGTACATTTTATACAGATGCCAACAAACAAGGAAAGGCAGGTTACAAATCAGAAAATTTAAGTAAAGTGGTTCAAAGTCCTTATAATTCAGTTCAAAAATCAGAATTGTATGCTATTCTGTTGGTATTAATGGATTTTTCAGAACCTCTCAATATAGTAACTGACTCTCAGTATGCTGAAAGAGTAGTATTACATATTGAGACTGCAGAATTTATCCACGATGCTTCAGAATTAACTTCATTATTTATTCAATTACAAGATACAATCCGAAAAAGGAGTCATCCTTTATATATAACTCACATTCGATCCCGTACTGGTCTGCCAGGCCCTCTAGCACAAGGCAATGATGAGATTGATAAATTATTGATAGGAAATGTGCTGGAGACCTCAGAATTTCATAAAAAACATCATGTCAATAGTAAAGGTTTAAAAAAGGATTTTTCCATAACCTGGCAACAAGCCAAAGAAATAGTAAGGAAATGTCCTACTTGTTCCTTCTACAATCAAACACCATTACCAGCAGGATGTAACCCAAAGGATACTCAGAGGAATGAAATCTGGCGAATGGACGTGTTTCACTTTGCAGAATTTGGAAAACTGAAATATGTACACC